TTTTGGTTAATCAAATAACTGGTTTGGAAAAAAAAACACTCGCTAAGTGTTTTAAATGCAGTATTAATCCACAAATTAGTTTTTGTTACTAACCATTAGTACATATATAACTTATTTTAAAATTCAACGAAAGTTTTTTTTTGTTAATTCAATTACAATAAAAATAATTGTGTTTTAGAATAGCTGACTTCATAAAAAAAAGTAAAGGTGAAAATTTTTCTAAATACACACCATTGTATTGTACCATGGACAATTTTTTCTCACTAAAGGAAGCTATTTTTCATTTAAAAACAACCTACGAGTACTAAATTTCAAGTAAATACGTTTATTGGTTTTAAAGTTATTGTTGTTATTAACTAAAAGAATTTAATTTTTTTTAATTTTAACACCCTGTATCTCGAAAAGTAAATAAGTTTGACCCCTCATTAACTATATCGTTTTGTTCAATTTTTCGAGAAGTATCTACAGTCAAACGTTGTAAGTGTCATTTGGAAACACCCTGTATGTATGAAATATTAGATATTTAATAGAAAATATTAGATACTTACAATTTTGCCACAGACTGAACAGTAGATTTTTCCCATATCCATAGACAGCTCTTTATAAGGTTTAATCCAAGTTGAAGCACTGGTTGTTTTAGACATTATAAAATCACAATCTTCCTTTTTGTTGCGCACAACGAGTGTTTACGCTTTGAATATCAAAACAAAAATGATTTACAAATCTGAGCATCAAATTAGAAATGTTTAGGTACCTAATTCAATAAACTGGGAGATTTTGGAAAATCCCTAAATTAGGAATAAAACTATTAGCCGTTTACCTGCTGTTAAGATACAATAAATTGTAGATAGATTTGGGGATTAGATCATAAAATGCAAATGAGCGAACCCTTAGCGATTATCCAATAACTGAATGCCTCAGTGACCGAGACTTTCTAAGAATGTTGAGGGCTACTTAAATTGATCTTCTTTGAAATTGTAAATGTTTTGTACCTGTAGAGATTACGTACTTAGATCATTTCTTGATTAAAACGACTACAAAATTTTATACAAGAATTGAAATAAATTGGTATGTTTAAAAATTTTCAAATACAGTATAAAAATCTGAACTTTTATGCACTTTATGCAAACTTTTATACAAATATGCCAAAATATGAAATATTTGCATAAAATATGCACAATATGCAAAATATGCAATATGCATATTTGCCGAAGTCTAGTAATGTGTATATGGGAGACTGCTTATACCGGCAATCATTCTTGCTCTCTACTGAGTATACTGTAACTGATATTTGCAGGTTCTCTTAAAATGGTATAAAGACATTCCAGAAAAGGCGGACAATATTGTAATACGACAGTGGTTTCCACAACAAGGCATATTGGGTAAGTAAATGTTAATATATTTGAAATAAAAGAATACGAATAAGAGTATTTAACATTTAGTTGTATTAAAAATTATGCAGCTTAGTATTACTACCGTTATTTAATGGAAACACATTTAGGATTAATAAAACCGTTTATTCACAAATTCCGTATAAATCTCCGTTAAGTTATACGCCGTTCCAGTTACATGCCGAGAATTATTTATCCGCGCTTTGTGTTTGAACTTGTGTTTACTGGTAAATCTTGTTTCAGATTAAGATCTGAGAAGAAATGGACTCGATTGATTCTCTATAACTTTATTGCTCTTTACACTTGTAGCGGTAATAATTGACTGAGGACATCGAATAACCCGAAGGTGCTAAGGACCTTGAGTTTTAACCTTATTTAGGCTTGAGCTTCTTCAAGGAATGGGGAACTCCTTTTTTTTAACTAAGTTGTGGGGAGGTGTGAGAAATTTCAATTAATCGAAACGCGAACTAAGAAGTAGTAGACTACCAAGGAGCAGGGGGAAAAGAAGGTGGTTTGTGTGTGTGATCGATAAGAATCGATAGAACGCACAAGAAGGAGTGGGATCTGCCTAGCATGCCGTGTAAGGTACTTCAGGGGTTACCAGCCATATAGTAGAAACGGCTCTTTATTAGCGTTTGTGGCGCGCAGTCTTTATCTGCGATAGTAGATGGGGAAGGTTTTAAGAATTTCAAAATACTCATCAGGAAGCTCAGGTTCAGCATTATGTAGAAGTTTAGCTGGAGGAAAATGGAACTTTCTTATTGGGGTACCTGGTGAGTATTTGCCCTCTATGCCCTCTATTAGTTTAGCTCAGTTGTTCAAGCCAGCTATGGTTCTTAGGACATACTTCCTGCTGAGGGTTAGGATTCTGTCCTTAATTGGCGTGATGTTGGCCAATATGTAGATGTGGGCTGATGGATACGACCAATCTTTTCTCATGCAGTATCGTAAAATTCTACGTTTTGTAGCTATTATGGCATTCAGTTGGTGACTCTTGAGAAAAAGGTAGACGCATGCCTTGTATTCGACTATCGGCCTGACAAAAGTCTTGTAGGTGTGCAATAATGTTTTGGAGGACGTTCCTCCTAGTTTTCCGGTCAGTACTTTCAGGAGATTAAACCTCTGTCGCATCCTGTCAAGGGATTCTCGGGCGTCAGCCTTCCAATCGAGAGTTTTCGTAACACGAACTCCCCAGTAGAGAACTGAGTTCCTGAGAACGAGGTCTTCCCCCAAAAAGTACTATCCGGCCCCGGAGGTCACGACCGTAAGGAGATTTAAAAAGTATGGCTTGAGTTTTGGATAGGTTTATAGTAACCCTCCTTTTGTTTCACCACTTCACGACCTTGTCAAGGTAGGTTTGCGGTCTATCGAATACAGACCGTCGCTCACCCTCTCTGTGGGAGCTTGAAGTGAGAATGGCCGTATCATCAGCGAATAGGAGGAGAGACTCTGATCCTTGCTGTGGGCGGGTGATGTCGCTGCTGTATACTGTGTAAAGTGTTGGAGCAAGTATTGAGCCTTGGGGCACTCCAGCTAGTGGAGTGAAGGGGATGGATAGATGGTCAGCTACTTTGATCCTAACCGTCCGATGGGAGAGATAGGAATTAATTAGTTTAACGAAAGGTGTTGGCAGTCCAGCAAGGTGGAGTTTCTCGATCAGGCCTGTGTGCCAGACCTGATCGAAGGCCTTCTGTATGTCGAGGAATATGCCTACGACGCGTTTCCTTTCGTTAATGGATTGTAAGATGAAGGTTGTTGCTTCAACCAATACATTTTGTGTGGAGTGTCCAGCCCTGAATCCAAATTGGTAGTTTGGAATTAAGAAGTGAGCGTCTAGGAATTCTACTAGTCTCTCCTTGAGGATCCTCTCATAGACTTTACCTAGGGTGCTCAATAGTGAAATGGGTCTGTCTGAAGGTACACGCCGATAAATTTACATTGGTAGCTGTCAGACAAATTCGGTGACCCTGTGCCATTTTTTTAAATAGGATGTCAGTGTTTACGATTGCACAAAATCAAATTATTAACGGAACAAATAATGTGATCTGAGATCTGACAACAACAAACACAAAAGGATCGTCCAACGACGTGACTGAAATTTAAAACATGGCCGCTGACAATGCGTAAACCAGATGCGCGAACAATTACCGCCGAGTCGAGTGCACCTTCGGGTTCTTCGGTGCTGAGAGCCCGTTAAGGGCAACTGTCATACATCTTGACTTTTGGCGGCGTTGCCATTACAGTGTTGTCAGGTGCATTACAAAAATATATAGTAAAATATATAGTATTCCAATAGTGTGTAAATTAGTTTTGCTTATATTCATTTCTTTTGGGCCTAAGTCCTTCAAATAAAAGTATTTTAACACCGTTATTATTTACAAAATCACGGGAGATATTGATTTTGGCTTCCTGATAAAAAACTAATTACCCAGTTTACTATTTAAACTCAAATTTGATCTATTTTCATATAAGTCTCTTCCGCAGTGGGATCAGATCACTTCACTAATATACTGATCACTGTTCACTGCACTACTGCTGCTTCAAGCATGCAAGCAATTTAATTAAACCCAGCCTGTGAGACATGTCCACCCCTTAGAATTACGTTCTGATGTAACAATTCATTGGAGCGAGGTGTATTAACTCGAGTAAAAAAGAAGTCACTCCACCCCGCTCCAATGCTCCAGAACATCGCTTGCCCCCCTATAGCACTTTGATGCGCGATAGGTGCACAACTATCAGACAAATTCTCTTCATGTGAGTCCAGGGTAATAGAACTCCAACGGGTTCCCTAACCGATTCAAATTCAGGATAGCGTAAGCGCTTTATTCCTGTAATCATATAGTGACTTTTCTGCGAATCTAAAATTGCTTGCTTGGGCCTCAAGCCTCCGCTTCAGACTACGTCCGGTTCGAAAACTTGGTGTGTTTGGGCCCTACGTGCCCGGGTGTTTTTTTTTTTGTTGGCTTTCGCCGGGTTTTTATTAGAGTTTTGTTAATTTTTTTGTTGGCCTAGGCTGTTTTTTATATTTTTTGTTAATTGTTTTTTGTAGGATGTCTATATAAAAGGTCCTGTTGTTGTTCTTTTTTCCTTCTCCTTGTTTTCCACACAGAGCGGCGATTTGCAGTGTTTGCTGAATAATTAGAGCAACGAACTACGAACTGTTCTCAAACTGAAGCAGTTGGTCTATGTCGTTTCAACTGACAAGTACCACGTGCTAATATTCGAGCAGGAAGACATGTAGTCCCTAAAGTAATTTTAAAAATATATCCATTGTCATCGACCTGGAGTCAAAACATTATTAAATGTAAAATTTGGAATACTGTAAATCCATACATGGAGGTCTTATAGACAACTTTACTGTTAGCAACAAATACACAAGGCACTGCGGATGATCTGTTCAGATTGAAAACGTTCTGCCAGAATTTAAATGTTGACGACACTTTTATAAAGTTTTAAATATTTGTTTGTTTTTATACCACAATACACATGTGTGAAGTGTTTTAACTTCTGTGTTTTTTTTTAGGTATAAGAAATATAATTACAAAAGATAACGGTTTTCAAAATATATACATTTTTCACGATTAAATAAGTATCTTTTGTTCTTTACAGCTCATCCAAATGTAAAGCTATTTATCACTCATGGAGGTTTACTAAGCAATTTGGAAGCAATCCACTACGGTGTTCCAGTATTAACTCTGCCCATATTTGGTGATCAAAGAATGAACGCAGCGAAGGCTAACGCAGGAGGCTTCGGAGTATCGGTAACTTTCTCCACGATGACCGAAGAAGTTTTAAGTAAAGCCTTGAATGAAATATTAACTAATAAAAAGTGAGTACTAGATATCTTCTTATGCCCAAGATGTTCTTTACGCGGTCATTAGTGGTTTCCCATGTGCGAAAGATACATGAGATGCAGCAAAATTCGAGATTAAATATTATAACTATTCTATGTAAATTTTTATATTGCAGGTATACAGAAAATGCCAAATTGAGGTCATCACTAATGCATGACAGAATTTCCAAACCAATGGATACAGCTATCTACTGGGTAGAGTATGTAATACGAAATAAAGGAGCTCCTCACTTAAGGGTAGCTGCTGTTAGTATGCCATTCTACAAGTATTTTTTGCTGGATATTATTGCTGTTATATTATTAAGTTTAATTACTATAATTACACTTGTATATATTACTTGTAAAAAGTTTGGTTCTTCTAAGACAAACAAAAATACTAAAACTGAATAATTTATGTATATATTCGTAAAATTTTAATAAAGACCTTTTTACTAAGGTTTAACTGCAGTCTAAATTTAAATAATAAAGACAAATTTATACAAATCTTATGATGGATACTTGTTCAGTATCAAAAAGAAAAGATTAATACAGTACATGTAATAAAATCAATCAAAATCGATAAATGTCTTAACATCAAGTTATTAAATCTAATCACTGACAAAATTTAGATGTTGGTGAGATTATTCAATAAAATGTATGTCAATCGATCAATGTCTCCACTTACCTCTTCGAAGAACTCGTCTTTCCATGGCCTAGTTCACCTCATTCTTTCATGATCTAAGGCGTGCCTCTTCTGTTTGTTCCCACTGGACTCCATCCCACTCCATTGTCTCAGATTCTCCAACCAGGACGTACGTCTTCTCCCTGGTCCTCTTTTGCCTTCCACCTTCCCTTGTATGACCAAGTACATCAATTCGTATTTCTCGTTTCTTAGTATGTGACCAAAGTAGCTCATTTTTTTTTATCTTTTTTCATTCTTTGTAGGCTTTCCGCATTTGTTATGTGTTGTGTCCAAGATATTTTCCACATTCTTCGATAACACCACATTCCAAAGTTTATAAGTATTTTCTCTGTCGCCTCTGTAATTGTCCAGGCCTCAACGCCATAACACAGGACAGAGAACATATCGCATCTCAATACTCTAGTTCTAATTCCAATGTTAAGTTTTCCATTGCAAAATATTGCTTTCATCTTATTAAAAGCACTTATAGCTATCCCAATACGTCATTTTATTTCCTTCCTTTACTTACTACAAACAAAACTCATTAAAGCCAAACCCTACTAAAACGCAAGTATGTGCATTCCATCTCAACAACCAACTGGCGCATGTAAAACTGAATGTTTCTTGGGAGGGACAACGCTTGAAACATACTGATAGGCCCAAATATCTTGGAGTGATACTAGACCGGTCACTAACGTATAAATTCCACTGTCAGAGCACAAGACAAAAGGTTTCTACGAGAAACCACCTTCTCCGGAAACTTGTAAGGAGCAAGTGGGGTGCAAACCCCAAGGTCTTGAAGTCAACAGATGAGGCCTTATGTTTCTCAACAGGGGAATATGCTTGTCCCGTCTGGGGTAGATCTAGACACGCCCAACAAGTCACCATGGCGTTAAATGAAACATGTAGAATCATTACGGTTGTATGAAGCCTACCCCTCTACACCTACTGTACCGGGTAGCTGGATTCGCATCACCAGACGACCGTAGATGTGCCTCACAATATGTGGAGAAGTTCAGGCAAACTTTCGATGAACGGCACCAATTATACAGGTTTGACGAACCGCCAGGAATCAGCCGACTTAAATCAAGGAAAAGGTTTATGAGAAATGTCAGCGTCGAACCACCCGAAGTATTCCCCCTACATCCAGAACGACCTAATGGAATGAACCTGGACTGGAGAACCTGGCGGACACTCAACCGCATGCGCACAGGTGTTGCCCCTGTAAAACAGAACTTCATTAAATGGGGCATCAAGACAGATAGCGAGGCACTCTGTGAATGTGGGGAAATACAGAACGTGGAGCACCTGAGAGTATGCAGACTTTGCCCATCACAGTGCACCCTCGATGATTTATGGCTCGCAAATACAAAGGCTGTAGACGTAGCCTGATATTGGGCAGAAAAACTGTAGTCGCATCAGACTCGAAAAAGTAAGTTTAAATAATCACCTATTTTTTAATTAATCGTGTGACCGCAATTTATTTAAATAGTAGTTTGTTGTCTTTATATGTCCACTTTTAATAATGAATAAAGTTTTAAAGTTTTTTACGTTTATTTCCCTTGGATTTGTCCCATGTCCTTACCCCCAAAGCCGGTTGAGCACGATCCTTGTAACGTGCTTGTGACACTATACACTGACTCTCTTTTTGACACCTGAGTTGTTTCGTTACATCAAATAAAAACTATATTTAACTAATAAAACTATTAATAGTTTACTGGAGATAAGACGAGCTCACGTGTCCGTGAAAAAGTTAAACATCTATTATAATTCAATGGTGTAGAGTTTTAAAATAGAAATAAAACAACCTTAAGCCTTGAACAAGCTTTATTACTGCAAAAACACAATATAGATCGCAAAATCCAACAATGTGTGTCTACATCAGTAAAGTCAAGTACTTTTTCACAAAATGCAACATTAATTCATATAGAGAAAAACATACTAAAATATTTGATAAAACCCTATGCAAGCTTTTACAATTATAAATTTAATCTATGATACATGCAGATAGTCTATATTACATTAAGTTTACAAATATTCTTTCAGGCCAAATCACAATAATTAGTATCTAGTTTATTTTTCAAACATCGACAAATTATTTGTACGAATATTAATGAAAACATTTAGTTGAAAAAATGGGAGTTGACTGTTCATTCAGACGTAAGAAAGTCCAGTAAAATGCGTCCTTGAGTTTGATCAAGTATTTGGGAAGATTAGTTACTTTTGGTTGTATACTTTTAACAAAAAATCTTTCTCCAATAACTATACAAAAACTGATATGGGTTCTACCAGGAGTAATATTTGTTATATGAAATATATATTGATTTATTGTCGTTCAGTGCTAATTCTAATAAAAATGCTTCGTGTGTATATATTAGTCAGCTTTGCAACACCATTTATACACAAATATACATTTTATAGACACTAGTCATCATTTGGTGGGTCTCTTTAACTTTCAAGTTTCACGAACGGTATTATATTTGATATATGAGTACTTATTTTCAGGCATACGCTTCTGTATGTTGGCTAACATACAAGCACTAAAGTTGGTAACAGCAGGTAAAGCGAAAATTTTGGCAAAAAGAAAGATTTTCATTCTCGGCGGTTGTCTTTGTACGCCAACACATTTCAGTTACAGAATAAGTCAACATTTATTTTAGTGTAATTTTATTTCATATATCACGTAATGCTCTGATTAAATAAAATAGAATGTCTTTCCGTATGAAATATCATTTAAGATGTTGTTTAGCATAATGTAGTAATTTTAGTTCTTAAAATTTATTATTTTACACAGAAGCGGGTCTCCATTGAAATGTACTCATACATATTGTGTAGATACAATTTATCAGAAAAGAGCGACTAATTTGACATATGTTTTACTCTTTTATTAACTTCATAAGGAAACTTCGACAAACTGAATATTTTCTCATTCAATTTATCTAATCCATTGTTTTCTTTCAAATTTTTACATAATAGTGATCTTAAATGTTTTCATTCGTGAACTGAATTTATGTCTATCCAGTTAATTCTTTGTACTATATACGTTCATGCAATGAAGTCTCAAAATTAATATTTTTAATAACTTGTATACTGAAATCTTAGTAATTGTTGCGGTAAAGAACAAAATCTTTCAATATTAGACAAAATGCAAAGAATTGTTACGATAGAAAAGCCTAGTCATAGATAAATAATATAGTATAGCCTAGTTCCTACCATGATACTATGAATAACAAGATAGGATCTTCCCGTAGCTCAAAATCGGTCGGGTTCGCGCATACCGTCATTGGAGACTAGAATTTGAATTCTTGTTAAAGTTAAATGAGATTTGTATGCATTCTGTGATGAAATTACTAGACGAAAATTAGTTAAGAGGTTTAATAATTACAATTATCGCACACATAAGGATATCTCCAAACTATTTATTAAAGATTATTTATTGATATATACAAAAACTGACATTTCGAACGTGCAAGTCTCCAATGACGTCACAAAACATGCGCAATATCTTATCTTATAGTCATAGTATCATGGTTCCTACCAAGCCGGTTCTGACTTCGAATAATTGAGACGCCAAGTAATCCAGTTTTAAAATGACATAAAAAGAATCGAAACTTCTATGAGGATCCAGTACCGGCATCGATGGTTTTCCAGAACGACGGATATTATATAAATACAGACGATTTAGATTTTTAAGACAGTCTAAAATGAATAACGAGTCGAATTTTGAAATGTAACGTCCGTGTAGTCGGAAATAAATATTGTAAATAAATTATACAAATTAGAATGGTTATAGTGTAAAATAAATAAGTGTAAATATATGTTAAATAAACTAAAGTGTTGAAATATTTTAATTGTAAATTAAAAGACTAAATAAAAGATAATAAAAAAATTTCAGTATTCAACGATACTCCTCAACTTTAACATTATTTGAATACCATTCTATTGCCATCTACAACTTTTAAATAACAACTAAATGAAGGATCTGGAACGATAGACCTAAAACTAAAATTGAACATAGAAAACATGCATTCTAAAAAAATTGATTATTTAGTATAAGGACCATGTCCCTTACCATGCAGTTGATTAAAAACTAAAAACAACACAAAGAGCCATTGAACGAGCTTGTAGTTTCACTGAGAGACACGATTAGAATCACCGAAATACGGAGAATAAAAGTCAGGGGCATCGTAGAAGAGGTGCAAAAATTAAATGGTGATTAGTTGGTTACATAGCCAGATACGATGATAACCAGAAAGGCGATCACGAAGAACCCTGGAGTGGAACCCAAAAGAGATAAAAAGGAGCACAATCAGACGTTAAATGACATGGGCAGACGACATAGGAACAGTGGCGGCAAACAATGGAAGAAATTGGTGCACGACAGAGAAACACGGACGCAATAGAAGAGAACTACATCAATATCTGATGGATAAAGATTTACCAAGAGGAAGAGACAATAATATAACATATTGAAATAATGTTCTTAACATCAGCTTTTTTTTCTACTCTACAAAGACCACCTGTACGTTGCGGAGACAGATCGAGTAGCTTGGATGAAGATCAGTGTTCACTTCGGAAATCGTTCAAATAAGGCTATGACATACTCTTATACCGAGACTAAAAGAATGGAGATTAAGTATTGTAACTTGAACCTCTAACTGATTATTCAGGTCTACTAGAGGAAACAATTAACATTAAATTACTAATGCGTGAAAATCTATTTGCTATA